AGAGGTCTTCTGGCTCTCCAGGCTCTCCACAACAGTCCCTGTGTTATCCAGGGACCTCCCTCCGGCACTAATCCCGCTGGCAGCAGCTGTGATCCCGATAACCCTGCGGCTGGCTGAGTGCTGATGTCCCTGTAGGCACCAGGACGTTCCCTTTGGACACCTGATAGGGGCTATAAATACCAGCAGGGTTCATGTTCCCTCAAGCACCAAGTGGGCTGTGCCAAGTCACCCCAGATGGTCGAGATCCCTGTGCCAGAAATGACTGCAGCCTTTGGAAAAGGGGCTGAGTCCCTGATGTGGGCATTTGAAGGCTCCACACCCTTGGCCATGTGCCTTCTCCCAGCTTCTTTTTTTGCAGCACTGGTGTCACCTGGGATCTGCATCCCACGGGTCAGAAGCGTTCTAGGGTCTGATGGAGAGAGTCAAGATGCTGCTCAAGGTGTTGCCAGGCTTGTCCTTTCTTCCCAGGATGCCCAAGGCACATCCATGCCAGCTGCAGGTGGTGCTCCGAGTTGTTACACGTTCCCTGCACACCTGGGTACACCCTCACGCTGCTGCTTACCAGCCTGGGAGTGCTGCTGCACCAAAACACACAAAGTTCGGTCCCAGGCCTGGTGTGGAGTCCTTGCTCTTGGATATCCGTGGGGATTTAGTTGCTGGTTTGTGCAGAGCCAGGATTCACTCCTCGCCCTGCTCCCGGGACAAGGGGGGAGGCCGGGGCGAAGTCAGCTCCTCTTGTCTTTACTAACTTGTCTTGTGCACCAACACGGGGAAAGTGATGATAATTATGATTTCAGGCAGAGTTTTGGGGGCAGGCAGCACTCTGGCTGTGTTACTCTGGCTGGGGAGGTGCCGCACCACTTCCCTCTTTCCTCACTCAGGGAATCCCAGGAAGGTTTTGGGCTGGAAGGGACCTCACAGCCAGTGCCAGCCTCTGCCATGCGTAGGGACATCTTCCAAAGCCCAGGTGGCTCCGAGCCCCGTCCAACCGTGCCTTTGCCCCTTTGAGTGGAGCAGCTTTCCCAGTCCGGGAAGCGCCGCCCGGCGCTGCTGCGTGCTGGGAAACTGAGGCACAATTCCCGAACCGCCTCTGGGATGGGATGAGGACCGCCTCCGCGGGCCAGGAGGGGGAGGAGGAGGAGGAGGAGGAGGAGGGCGGCATCAGCCGGGCCCAGCTGAGCCCAGCCCGGCCCTCGGGGCGGAGCAGCGCCCGGCGGAG